CTTTCAAATAATTCTTCAAAGTCAAATCAATGGTACCATCTTATGGTCCCTTCGAAATCAAACAACTTTTGTCTGAAAAATTTTTCTCTCCCGAGCTTGATTTTCGAGATATTCGACTGGATGGATTAAAATGGTCCACCCTGTATATATATTTACTTCAAAAAAATTATAAATCTGTTATTACTTTATATATTTTTTTATTTCTATATTTTTTTAATATATTTGTTGTGTATATGCGCGCGCGCACACACATACACAGAATAATTGATAAATAATCTATTTTGAAATTAAAAATACTTTCTGACCATCTTTAGTCACATTTGAAACCATTATGGTGTTAAGTTTTTACGGATTTGAGTTTTTTTTCACATGATAGACACGCAAAAGTCGCCTAATCAACCTTGCGCCGAATAAAATGTCTATTATATATACAAATTAAAGGATTATTTTCGTAACGTTTAATTTTCCATATTATAGACTTATCCAAACCATCATTTTCTCTTGTATCACGGATATTTAGCTTTAATGTAATTGCACCATCTACATTTTGTGAGATGTACATATACCAAGTGTTTTGGAAAGCAACAAAAATTCTTATAAAGTAGCATAGTAGAGGCGTCACACGCAGGTGCTTGTATTAGTAGCCGATTAGTATAAGATTACGTGGTTGTTCTGTGCATGTATAGTTGTGGTGGCTCGTCGAAGCCGAAATCTTGTCTGGTACAGAGGGATAGCAGTGGCGATCGGCATTGTCATTCTTTCAATTCCGGCAGAAATTCGCAGGGCACGAGGCTCATTAACAGGTAAATGCACGTAAACAGATAAAAAGCAAAAGTTTTCTTCCTATGCGTTTCTTTCTAATTTTGAAAATACACAGTTTAAAAATTTTAAAAATGACAAAATTACAAAACAGTAATTTTGCATAATATTTTTAGCATAATTTTGTGAAAACACAGTTCAGGAGTTTTACTAAATTAAAATTGATATTAATTAAATGAAACAGTAATTTTGTGATTGGTATAATTTTTATCTTATTAAATTTTGAATTGTCATTAAAAATTATGTATATAATTGACAATTTATATCAATATTTATTTCAATATTATTTTTTATAAACTATATTTTCCGCAAATGGGAACTTAAGAAATGACATAGTGTTTCTGAATAAATAATTTTTTCCCTTTTTGATGTAACATTGTAGAAATAACTATTTATTTTTTATTTTATTCCAATTCAATATATAACACTTGCAAATATTTATTTTACTTAAGTAAAAGGGAGAAATGCAAGTTTTAACTATATATTCATTTTGGACGATATTATTCTTTTCTTCTTATGATCTCTGCAAATCTCAAGATCGAGCTACCGGGCTTCGCAATTTATAAGGTAGGTCTTGCAAACCGCGTTAATGCGACATTATCTTATGCATCTACCAAAAAATTTTCTACACTATAAAAAAAATGTGTTTACTGCATATGCTCATTAAGGGAGACAATTGATCTTTCCCACAGAATTCGCTCGAACGTCAACATGGCCAAACAGAGTCAAAACCAAAACAGCAGCAGAGATAACATAATGTCGGGAGGATCGGCGACAGCATCGATTACCGGAGTTAGCAATCAGCCAGCTAGTGATGAAAGAATCACCCTCATCGTTGATAATACCAGGTGCATAAAATGTTTTTTATATGTATAATTCATTTTTCATACTTTTTATATGTATAAATATTTTTGTATATACAAAAGTGTGTCATTATATATTTCATCTTGACACATCCAAATATCTCGAAAAATACACAAGATACAAAAATGTTTCAGATAAAATTATAGAATATGAAGGGGAACAAATAATGATAAAATCAATTTCATTAAAAAATCGAATACGCAAAAAAATGCAATTTACATTTTTTGTTGTTGTAAAGTAACTATGTGTTTTCTTTACACCAATCGATTTGTCTTATTATTCTGTGCATAAAAGTATAATTATTAAGGTATAATTATCAAGAAATCAATAGTTTACGAAATATTTCATATTTCATATTGAAATACTTTTTCAGATATTAAAGTATTAAATATCTCAAAAAGTTTTGAGTTTTTAGATAACTTTACCTTAATACTACAGTCAAACCTCGATAACTCGAATCTCAAGGAACTAGAAAAATTGTTTGAGTTATAGAGTTGTCGACTTATCGAAATTCGAGTAAAAGAGGATTAACGTATGAAAATTCGACTTACGGAGGCTTTATATGAGAGTTTATAATTTTCCAATTATAATGGCTTTAAGGAAGAAAATTCTATCAATATTTAATAGTGATTATTTATTGCATACATATGATAAATGTAACCATAAAACAAAATACCAAGCTATTACTCACGGTTACACATAGCTACAACTTCGAATTATAGAGGTAACGACAATGGAAGTTCGACTTATAGAGGTGAATTTCGACTTGTAGAGGTCTGGCTACTTTAAATTCGAGTTACAGAGGTAAAATATATATCTAAATGCCTGACAAATAATTCGAGTTAAGGTAGGTTTTATTTCGATTTATAGAGGTTTTCCTCAGCGGAGCGGAATGAACAAAATTTTCGTCTTATAGAGGTTTTTGAGTTGTAGAGGTTCGACTATATATGCAAAATAATTAAAGGAATCATATTATTTAAAAAATTACCATTTCATTCAAAAAAGTGGAGGGATCTTTATATGATCTTGAAAAATCGATTTTTTTTTGTGAAATTGATTTTATCATTACTTGTTTCTCTTTGTATCCTATCATTTTGTCTGAAACATAAAAATGTTTCAGACAAATCGCGAAAAATCGCGTATCTTGCGTATATTTTTCGAGATATTTGGATGTATCAAGATAAATGACACACCCTGAATAATATTAATTTTATAATATTTATAATATTAAAAATATAAAATTAAGATATATAATATATAGGTACATGTATATTTTAGTTAATAATATTCCTAATATTAAATTTGTGAGATCGGCCAACGACGGTCATGGTAAGATTTTGATGCTCATTAAAATTTCATGTATTTGATATACATTTTTCTAGTTTTACGAACTGCGCGCCGTCTTACTTTCAATCTTGACGCAGTTCTTAATTGAAGAACAATAAAATAACGGCACGCAGTTCATAGAACTAGAGAAATGTATATAAAACCATATGAAATTTTAATAAGCACCAAGATCTTGCGTATATTTTTCGAGATATTTTTCGAGACCTGTTATAACCGTCATTGTGATGAATTTATTGGGTGCATCCAGGAGCGCAACCGCTCACTGAGCGCTTAGTGAGCTCTTGCATCTGTTTGGTTAATATTTTTAGATCTAGAGAAATATACCAATCAGATACAAGAGATCTGATTGGTATATTTCTCTAGATCTAAAAATATTAACCAAACAGATGCAAGAGCTCACTAAGCGCTTAGTAAGCGATTGCGCTTCTAGATGCATCCATTATATGCAGTCGGGTATACACACGCACGCACACGCACACACATGTTTAACATTATTATTGTATTATATTATGGCACGATAATAAGAATATTAGGAATATACATACTAATATGTATATGTTACATAATGTTTGTATATTCCTAATATTCTTGATATGCTTATTATTGTGCTGTAATATAATATAGCAATGTTACTTTTAGTAATGAGCTAAAAGTTTTAGAAAAATGCTTGTACCTTACTAAAAAAAAAAAATATGATTATCAGTATACATTTCAGAAAATATGTTGCTGAAGGACATCTTAATTAAATTATTCTCTTAGGAGATTTGTTGATTTATTTTCCTCATTATTAAATCTTTGATTTATTAAATCTATTTTTTCTCTTATTTAATCTATTTAATATTTTCTGTTTCAGATTTATCGTTGATCCGGCTTTGTTCACAGCGCACCCCAACACAATGTTAGGTCGCATGTTCAGTTCAGGCGTGGAATATGCTCAACCTAACGAACGCGGCGAGTATGAGGTCGCCGACGGTATTTCTGCCATGGTTTTCCGCGCCATCCTGGAGTATTATAAGGGCGCAGTAATTCGATGTCCCCCGACTGTAAGTGTTCAAGAACTGCGAGAAGCTTGCGACTATCTGCTAGTGCCTTTTGATGCTAGCACGGTAAAATGTCAAAATCTCAGTAAGTATTATGAAGGAATATAAGTATATATAGTTTTAAAATTATATATATAATTAGCAGTATATGTATATATTTACACACATTGCTGATTAAGTTTTTTTTTACTATAACATCTGAATAATTGATATATAAAATACATATGTATAGATGATAATAATAAATAATATAAATATAAAATTAATATATATAAAAATAATGAATAAAAACAATATATTGTATAATAAACTTTTTTGTGTAAAACAATAATTTAAGTAAGATCAAGCACCTCAATTAAGATTAAATCAGTCACAATTTGAAAAAATTTAGTATACAAAGAACACAGAAAAAAAATTAAACTTTGATAGGAAATAATTTAATTTTTTTGTAAGGATTTTTAAAGTTAAAGAGTTTGTTGTTGCAGGAGGATTGCTACACGAATTGTCGAATGAAGGTGCACGCTGCCAATTCGAAGTATTCTTAGAGGATTTGATCTTGCCGCTGATGGTAAACAGTGCACGACGCGGTGATCGCGAATGCCACATTGTTGTCTTGCTCGAAGATGATGTCGTCGATTGGGATGAGGAATATCCGCCTCAAATGGGAGAAGAATATTCTCAAAGTATGTAAATTGGGAATTTTTAAGCTTTGGAACATTTATATATAGCTTTAACTAAATTGAGAATTTTATCCTAAAAGTAAAATCTCATATATTAAATAAATAATCTCTTTAAACTGTTATTCTTAACTGATTTTTAGCGTTTTATCTTAATTAATAAAAAAACTAAATTTGTGCATGTTCACACTTTTGCAACTCATTTTTATTTAAATTATTTTATTTTAAAAAGCAAATATTTTATAGAGAACATTATAAATACTTTGAGCATAACCCACTTAAAATAATTCTCTTAATTTTTCTCTTTGCACGCATAGTTTTGATATAGGTTGTATAATTATACTATAAGTGCAAGTAACCTTCGAAAGCTTTAAGAAAACACGTGGAACTTTTTTAGTTATGAAATACAACAAGCGTTAACGCAAAATCGATTAGCTTTGTCTTTGAAGGTGCATAATCTCCATTAGTTCCGCCTGTTTTCTTCAACAATGAATGCTCAAGGTAGCTTGCGATATTAATACGATCCTGTAATGTGCGTCATATATTTAACTCCTCGCACACTTAGGAAGTGTTGGAACTTATGTAGTGACCTGAAATTTGTGTGCAACCTAACTAATAGACATAAACATTATCACACTAAACGTAAATACCGTAAACATAAAAGAAACATAACTCTCTTTAAGACTGAGATCTATTACGATGTGGAATATTTTAAAATTAAAGATATACGTACGTCTATATTTTATTTTCTTTATTCGGTCAAATTCGTTATTTTTTTAATTCATTATTTTTCCTTGAGTCTCTTCATTTCCTGAGAAAAATTATTAAATTCCAAATATCGATTATTTTTCATGCTTTACTACACTTGTTTTTAATTTTCAGCTGTCAATAGCACGGCAATGTATCGCTTTTTCAAGTATATCGAAAATCGAGACGTGGCCAAGCAAGTAATGAAGGAGCGCGGCCTCAAAAAAATTCGTTTAGGCATCGAGGGCTATCCGACTTATAAGGAGAAGGTGAAGAAACGCGCCGGTGGCCGCGCCGAGGTCATATACAATTACGTTCAACGACCCTTCATCCACATGTCTTGGGAAAAGGAAGAAGCCAAGAGCCGTCACGTTGACTTCCAGTGCGTTAAGTCCAAATCGGTGACGAACCTCGCTGAAGCCACAGCTGATCCTGTTCTGGATGCCGCTGGAAATCCTATGCTTCTTCAAGTCGCTGAAGGGGCAGTCTCCCAGCCGGAAGTGGTTGGGCTTCCCATGGGTTCGGATGCTGATGTGGACGGGCCGATGGGACCTGGCGATCAAGACTTGGGCCCGCTACCATCTGATGAGCTACCATAAAAGATGGGAATAGACTAGGGATTTAGAAATCTTGAAAAAGAATCTTGGAAACAAAAAAATATTTAACAAAATCTTTAAAAAAGCTTTTGAAGAATATCTTGTAGTTTATCTTGAAGAATGAGAATTGAAAACCGAAATGTACTGGACTTCTTAAAAGACTGAGGTGCATTTGACGTGAATCGTTAGATCATTTGACGTATTGAACCCTGAAGACTTTGGAATATATTGGACAACAGAGGATGTACGCTGAAAGTTTTCCAGGATGAATATCCTAAAATTTTTGAAGCTTAGAAAGAGCAACGAATTGATTATTTACGAGGTAATTTCCGTTCTTCTGATGCCACGGAATTTATGCGATCCTTGTTTAAAGAAACATTTACTTATATTATGAAAGATTTACGAAAAGAAATAATTTTGATCGTATTTTACGGATTCCACTTGTGTTGAATTTTTAATTGTATGACTTTTTTTTTAGGTTTTTGATATCACGATTGATTTATAAGACTGTATGATTGAAAAAGGACGTATCGAAAGACGTATCAAGACGCTATGCACTCCAGTTTTCATGGTTCAATGTTTTGCTTTTTTCCGGTTTTTGTTCCGAATCTGTACGATTCTATAATACTTAAAAAAAGATTGTTGAAGTCAAGAAACATACGAAGAAATATTTTTAATTAATGATACGAATGAACGGATATTTTTTGTCTTTGTATGGTTCTTTAAGGTACGTATGACTGTGTTGAAGAAAAAAAGACTTATATTAAGATTAAACATAAATTTCTTCGTCTAGTATCACTTGTCATAGAGTTTTTCGCAAACTTTTGCAATTTTATGTATATAAGCGTTTATAATTATTATATATTCATATATATATACACATATAATATAGATTTACTTGTATTATGTGTATATTGCAAACACGATCGATGTATTATTATCGCATCTTTTACTACCATCGGTCTTTCCCGTTTTATACTATTATAATAAATAAAATTGAATACGCGATTTTTTCTTAATAAATAAATTTTTGCCCTTTTTATTCCTTAAAACTGACTTTCCTTTTATATTACATTTTTTTTTTTTAAAGAGCTGTATATTATTAAAGTATTCCCTAAAATTTCGTCAGAGACATGTAGAAAACTTAAACAAGTTTGTAAGTAGATAATATTGACCATACAATTACATAAGTTTTTAAATTTATTTTAAGATACTTGATCTATCATTAAGCTCTTAAGATTGTTTGAGAACGTGGAATTTATATTATGTCTTTTACAAATTTATATTCAATTTCAGTTCAATTTGACAATGTCTATATTTTCGAAGTTGAAAATGTATGTAAAAAAAATACTACATACACATATGTATATAAAGACAACGTTCTAGATGGAGCTTTCATCCCTGTCCACACAAATAGAATATATCTTTATCATTACTTTATTCTTTTCCAAAGTATATTCCAGTATAGTCCAGTATAGTAATTGAATCAACTTTTAATATGTTAAATCACTAATAATGACTAAAATGAGGACTGTCAATCAACCCCCTTCCCTTATCTGCCCTCCCCCCTCATCTTCTCTTTTCGAGGCTTTAGTAGGTCGACGGAAAGGAAGTCGTTCGCCGACCTGGGGGAGGCGGCGCAGGCGCTATTAGGGGGTGGGGATTGGGCGATCAATAAGGGACGTACTACCCCCGGCGGCGGCCTCAGGAGGGCAGGAGATCAGTAGCGTACGGGCGCGCGAGAGGTGCACGACGAGAGGGTGCGTGCGTGGGGTGTGTGCGCATAGAGGGTGAGCCGCGAGTGAGCGAGGGCAAGTGAGAGCAAAACTGCCCCTCCTCCTCCTCTACCCCCGGCGCTGCGGGAAAAACTCGCCTCAGCATGCAACCACCGCCGAGAAAAGTAAGAGGAAGTCATTGCGTACTCTCGAGAACTCTCGTCCCCCCGACCGAACGGGTTGTAACCCTTGTAATCCTGTAGAGTCGACTTTTCATGCATGTAGGTAGGGGAGAAACGTCTTTACGTCGAGCAAAGTCCGAAACACAAGAGTCATCTTCTTGCATTATAGTCACACACAAGAAAATCGACCCGTAAATCGGGAGAACGTAAGAATCGGTTTTTCTATGCCGAAGCTGCGTAAAAAGAATTAATTTGAATAATTCTCGTCAATCTTTATATAACACAATAATGATATTGCAATTTTTTTGCACAATGTTTAATAATATTTTTTTATTAATAATAAATAATATATGTCCAGAACACAAAAATAATAATACGATAATGAAATAAATTACTTCAGTTCACAAGAATCGTGTTTTTTTTCTTCTGTAGAAAATCAAAGGATTTTGGAGAATTATTACGATTTAAAAATCCGTAAATAATATTAATATTGTAACATTAATACTAACAGAATAATGTTCTATACTAATTTCAAAATACAAAACGTAATAATACTGTAATTCACAATATAATAGAATGAGAGGCAGAGAAATTTATTTATCTATAAGTACATCAAAATTGAAATTCTGTCAAATTAATGCCGGTATTAATTGATTCAAAAGAACTCTTGAAGAGAGAAAAGAACAGAGGGAGAAAATGGAAGGGAAAGAATTAATAACGAAGAAGCAAACAGGCGAAAGAGTGCACGTCCAACGTAATCGCTGTTAACACTTTCACGTCGAAATGTCACGAGCAATTTACTTTCGACATTATCTTAGTAGATTAAATGGAAAGACAGAGAATATACGTTTACGAAATTGATGAAATTATATATAGGAATTTTCAAAAAATGGCAAAAGGCTAGAATAATTTCCGGGAAATGTTTTTATCGATCTCAGCAAAAAGGATTTGGGTAATGTGCATTTCTAGATGCCGTTACATTACATTGCTAAATGTATAATATAAATATTATTAACAGTAATTGTTGCAAATTCTACTTTATAAGTAATTTATAGGTGCATAATTAAACCCTTTCACAGTTATTGGTTATAATTATGATTTAAATAATAATTATAGTTGTTTATGAAATAATATTTAGTCGTAATATCTTGAAAAATTGGATTAATTGTAATATTTTACAATTTTACTGTTTACATGTGCAGTGTTCGTTGCTTAAAGAAGAATTTTTTATTTATACGCGAATACATGCACATGTATGCACATATGGATAAATAAAAAATTCTCCGCCGAGAAACGACTATAAATACAAATTCATATGTGATATTAAAACACTGTTTTATGTCAATAATTGTCATTGATTTTCAATTTGCACTTTGGGTGAAAAGTGAGAGAAAGAGAAATTCGATTCATTGCAAGGAATAAAAAACTTGAAGTTACATGTAACTAATTGTAATTAAAATTCCTGTAAATTGAACATTGAATAATAAAACACTTGATTTATATTTATTTAATTTATGTTTTTCGTTTGATCGTAAGGGAAACTATGCGAAATTTCTGAAGAATGTGCATACGGAGCAAGCGGCGAAATTGCATGCGAAAAATCAGCATGAGTGCGATCTTCTGGAAGACATCCGGCAAGTTACTATATAATACCATTAAACAAATAATATTTAGACGTAATATCATTTTAATAGAGTTTTTAAGACATGAGTTCATAGTTTGGAAATAATGTTATACTTTAAAAAAGTTTACGTATTAGTTATGATTATTATTTTCAAATTGAACATAAATTTAAGATTTTTTAATAATTAAATAGATGATAATTTTTCTTTTTCAGTAATTTTACGATAAAAAAGTCTGCCATTGAAAAATCCTACTCTGAGGTAAGGAATTTTATGTTATGTCTACGCGTTAGTTATCTTTAATAATTATATAAATATTTATAGTATTTATTACTATAATTTTTTATAATTTAACTATGATGACGTACCATTTTTCAGGCGCTACTCAAAATATCGTCTGCATATTTAAATAAGAAAATACCGAACATACCAGATCTCAAAGTCGATGGAGCAGAAGAGAAATGGTAATTAAAGCCTATGAAACAAAAGTTTATACATTACTTATAATAATTTTGTTTCTTTTTCTGTGACTTTATATGTTACAAAAAATCTTACATCGTAAAAATTGTCTACAATATTTAATTCTAAAAAGATTAAATTACAATCTGCGTTTGATTAGTTATTATTTCTGATTAATTAATTGATCCAATTAACGCGTACTTTAATTTTTTTGATACGTTATCGTGTAGCAAAGAGATGAATAAAAAAATCAATATGACTTAATAAAGATAAGAACTATTTTCGCGTACCATAAGCACGGGAATTTGACCTCTACGGAATTGTACCGGTTTCAATTCCCGTCTGTTTATCGATCGGGGGAAGTTTGCCAAGGAGAAGAAGGGTCATAGGTAAATGGCAATCCGCTGGCGGGCGGTCGAATGATTGTAGGAACATGTGGAACGTGTGGCGAACCGTGCTGGAGGAGAACGAGAAGCTGGCGCGCGCACGCCTCGCTGCTGTCGAGGTCTTTCAGCAGCAGATCGCCGATGACGCCAAGAGCCTCAAGATGCACAAATTACAAATCTCTAAGAAGGTATTCTTATAAAATTTTGCCACGAATAACACATCTTATACTATGCGTTTGATGTATAAATATAAAGAAATAACGCAAGTTAGAAAAAAATCTTAGATTTATTTAGAAAAAAACTTTTGTTTTTAAAATAAAATATAAAGAAACTCTATATATAGTGTTTATAAAAAAAATGTAATTTGCATTTATAAGTACAATTATTTGTATAAATATTATATATATGTTATTAAGATCAAGGTTTGCTTTAGATCGCATTTGACATTACTAAAAATTTATTTAATTTGAACTTTCGTGGTCTCGTTTATGTTTCATATTAACATTTATGTTACAAATGCTGTATGTGGCATGTTGCGTATATAAATTTGTATAATGGATTTCTCTAGGCAATCGACCAATTATTGATAGTACAAAAGGAGCTCCAAACTTGCGTACAGGATGTCGACAAGACGAAGAAATTGTACTTTGACGAGGAACACAGCGCACACGATGTGCGCGATAAAGCAAAAGATATTGAGGAAAAGTATGTACATTAAGTTATTTCACTTATCTGCTTGAAAATTAAGTTATCTCTCTTAATTGCGAAAGTGTCTTTGAAAAAATTTGTGAGAATTTTTCCCTTAATAGAATTCTTGTAAAATATAAACTTTAAGGATGTTTGGGATGTACAATATCAGCTAAAAGCTATCAAAATTTTAAATTTATAGATTTCTTAGATTCGTCTAAAAATAAAATAAATAACTTTACATTACATAAGAAGTTAAACTTTCGTGAAATAACATGATTTTTCATATCTTCAAGAATAGAAATATTTATAATTAATATTTTTCTTAATCAACGATAA